GGTTGTGAGGGTGAGGGGATGAACAGGCTGAGCACAGATGACTGTTAACTTTTAGGGCAATGAAAATACGATGTATGATACGACAATGGCAGATACATGTCGTTTTACATTTGCCCAAGCCCACAAAACGCACATCAAGAGTGAACCCTTGGGTAGGGTTACTCACTTGTAAGCGTGTAGGTTAATCCATTGTAACAAACACACCACTCTGACGGAGGATGCTCATAATGAGGGAGGCTACTCACGAGTGGAGGCAGGGGATATACGGGAAATTTCTATACCTTTCTCTCAATTTTGCTGTGAATCTAAAACTTCTCTAAAAAAGTTAATTAAAAAAATCTACATAGCAAATTTTCCTCGATTTATAATAACTCCCCATTTAATGAAAATGAGTGCTCTGACATAGAATTATATCAGAACTCAGGCTCTAATCAACAGGGCTTCATTTTCCCTCACAGTGAAGTGTCCTTTCAGCAATCAAAACCCAAAACCTCCATTCTGCCCAGCACCCCAGGCCCCCTGGCTTCCTTGAAGGCTTCTCTTCTAAAGTCGTGTCACTTCTTCCTCTCAAACAGGACCAGGATCGGTGTCATCAGCATGCAAACTGAGGACATAGCTCCATCTTGAGAAAGTCTCATTAACCCTAATATACTCCAGCTATCATCACATTTCTGTGAACTAATACGGAGTGATTTCTAGGATATACTGTTAACTGAAAAAAGTAAAGGACAAAAGAGTATGTACAGGATGCTACTTGTACAAGAATGGAAATATGTAAACAAGCATATCCTTAATTTTGCAGAAAGAAACATGATGGATAAACCAGAAATTAACAAGGTTCATTAACAACCCTCAAGGGTGGAAACTGGAAGGGATTAGAGGAGGAAGGGGCAGTGACACTTCCGGGGACAGCTTTGACTTGAAATTATGTTGACACTTCACATACTCAAAGTGAAATAAATGAGTGAGGAAACCTAATTTTACTTCGTATGAATAAAACATAATTAACCAAAGGAGAAATAATGTAAGTAACTTTTCAACACGGTATTTTTGCTCTCTACCCTCAGTCTAAAGACATAAGTACTCTCAACATTAAACTCTGGCTAGAAAGTGTATTTATCACAGTGGTATGCGTCAGTAATTTTGAAACTATTTTCTCCATTACTATAGGATTGAGCAAATGAGTAAATATACTGCAAATAAGACATCTACTGAATGGGAGAGAGTGAAAGTGAATCCTGTGGTGATGAACTGGAAATAGAGTTATTTGCACGAACTCATGGTTTTCAACAATAAATACAGACCGTGACATAAATATGTGTATATACATATATACATAATCTAACTTTTTTACCTCTCTATTTCTTAGCTCTGTCCAGTAAAAGGGCCTAGAAGCAGAGGCACCCCAGGAACAATGAGCATACTGAGCACTCAGATGTCGGTTCCTAAACACCATTCCCTGAGGGAACTGCAGACCTCTGCCTCTGACTGTGGGGAGTAAGCGGTAGTGGAGCACGAGCCCTTCTTCATCCAACATATATAACATATCTTTCAGAAGCTGATCAACAAGTAGTGACAGGTTGATCTGGGAGCCCACTGAGTGTTCCAGCTTTCTTTCCTAGGCACTTCCTAGGCTGGGGTGTGAGGCAGGGGGCTCTAAATAGATCAGCACAGTGGTCTTCCTGATGCAGAGACATGAGAGCTCAGGGAGGCTAGGTGGCTGGAATTTGCAGGACAGGGAACCAGAAGAGGAGAGAGCCTCTCTGAGAAAGGGTTCCAATAACCTACATGGGGTTCACTTAAGCTTTAAGCTGAGCCAACTGCCATTTCATAGGCAATTATCAAAGAAAGAACAACAGGGAGCTCTGGCCTGAACAACTCCTGGTGTTCACATCATGACCAGCAGGAAACAAGAGAATACACAGAAGACCCAGGCATTTAGTGAAGGCATCACAAACTTTTAAAACAAGCCTCAAAAGGGTTAAACAGATCCTCCAGGACAGTAACTGCCTGCTAGAACAAAACAACACTTTAAGAAAGACACCCAGTAAGGGCTCTCCTATCTGTAGAAAAGCAAAACCAATTTACAGATATTTCATATAATCCAAGAGGAGAACATTCCCAGAGGTTCACAGTTAAGAGAGAACAAGTACGTAATATTACAAATATTTTAAATGAGTAAATTACATTGTTATTTAATGTATTAACCATGTTGGCTTTACTTTTATTTTCAGAAATGTGAATACACTGACTACCTCCGTATCTCTCAAATCGTATTCTGACCCCAAAGGCCTAAGTTACTCACATGGAAATTCTAATCAGGAGATTTCCAGGAACCTTAATTCTCAAGATCCTCCTAACTGGTAGTGGCCTTCAAATCTAGCATTCACCCAAATGATGCTCTCACTGAACAAAATATTTGTACAACGGTGAGTTGCAGAGTTGTCTGCAGAATCATTCATCAATCACACAAGGAAAAAGGGCACTCCGCAAGGTGGTGGACACGAACTGTTCATAAATAGTTTGCTTCCTTCATTCAACACGAAAGACACACTCACACGAAGGTTTAGATGTAATGGAGCCTACACTTCCACAAATCTCTGTCAGCACAAAATATGACAGGTAGCTGGTTCTAATAAAAAACAACACCCTCCTCCCCATTCCACCAGCGCTTCTGAGGGATCTGGAGCCAGACAAGGGAGCCTGCATTTGGTCCTGCAAGAACTCCATCGGGGCTGCATACACACTGAGCACTAAAGCAGTTAACTGGGAAGTCCACAGTCACTGTGCTAAAACGTCTGGGTGCCTTTACGCTAGTAACGGAGGTCACACGCGGTACAAGGGGAAAAAGTCAAATTAGGCCCAACTCCAAATGACCCCTTAAGAAATCGAGACAGGAATGCCGACTTATCCTTCCTGAAACGCGAACAGTACCACACCAACATCCACTTAAAAACTTCAAGATTGAAACATTCCACACCAACACTGGTGCCGCTCATGCTGCTTAGAAAGCCTGCGCAGGAGAGCAGCCCTGGCACCACGGAAGCAAAGCCGGCCGCGGAAAACGCAGGCGAGGGGGCAAACAAGATGATTTCGGGGCTGTGCACACACGCCGCTGCCGACCGCTTTCCAGACCACGGCCGCCGCCGCGAGCACCTGAAGGACTTCGCGGCTTCACAGTCCGACGTCAAGGGAAGGCCGCGAGGGGAGCACCCGGGGGTGGGGGCCCCGTTACCGTCCTGGGGGTCCCTGAAGGCCCGGGTCCCGGCCTCCACCCCCTACACGGGCCCCTTCCCGGCTCCCCGCGCCCAGTGAGGGCCGGCCCGGGAAGCGCAGCGAGCAACGCCCCAGCGCGAACCGCCCGGCCCAGGCCCGAGACCCCCGGCGCGCGGACGGCGGGGCAGCCCTGCGGGGGTCGGGGCCGCGCTCTCGGTTTGGGTCGCGGGTCGTGCGGCAGGCGCCGCAGCTGCGTATGCCAAGGCCGGGCGAGGGGCCGCGCGGACACTCACCACATCACGTCGGGGGAGCCCTCGCCGGTTTAGCAGGTTGCTGGAGCGCCACCCACGTCGAATACCTGCCGCGGACCATCTCGGGGCCGCGCCGCCGCCGCCGCCGCCGCGGCCGCGGCGCTGGCCACGAAGCTCAGCGGCAGCCGCTCGGCCCACACCGCGCCTCCCGGAGGGACTGCGCTGCCGCCGCTGCAGCCGCCGCCGCTGGCCGGAGGGAGCAAGGCCAGAGCCGCTCGGGAGAAACGCAGAACCTCCAGCTGCTCGGACAGGACGCCCCCTGCCTGCCTGACAAACTGACCTTCTGGTGGACGGAGGGAGGGGCGGGGCGGAGGAGGACGCCGGGGCGGGGCCGGGAAGCGTGCGCGCGGATTGGCTTTCGGGACCTCGGGGGCGGGTCTGGTGGCCCCACAGATTTGTAGCCTTTTTGTCTATTAGGATTAATTCTGGTGTGAACATTTGTATACAAGTTTCTTTTTTAAACCAAAAATGATCATTGTAATTTTACTTGAACTTCATAGAAGAAAAAAACTAAAACAAAACTGGAGGAATCACCATATTTCAAATAAATGTATCTTTGTCATGGGAAATATTGTTGCGTAAAAGATCTCTATAAGGTACAAAGAGTGAATGATAAACAAACAAATAAATAAATAAAATTATGAAATGCATTAACAGGTTGTGAAATAAATTCAAGACATTTTGTGTTTTCTAAACACTGTGCTTCAAATTTTAGACATTATCTATTGATTTCATTTTGAAAGTTTGACATTAACAGATTCTCTTCTACCACTGTTATTTCCCACTCAGATTTTGAATAGTTATATATATTTTAAAAACACTGTTCATGTTTACAATATTTCATGTCTAGTTGGGAACTATAATTCCTATGATTTCTAAAACTTTGTTTCAAATTTAGAACACATTCACAGTTTAAAGTTAAAATAACAAAATACTGTACATTGAGAAGTTTCACTTCCACCCTCGTGACATCTTAATTCCCCCTGCCATTATTAGATAACTACTTAGTTTCTTAAATGATATTTCCAATGTTTCAGATACAAAAATGAAAATATACTTTATTTTCCACTTTTCTCACAATTATGCATTAGATCATGTGATTCTGCTGTGAACATTTGTATACAAGTTTTTGTGGGGAAATATGTTTTCATTTCTCATAGTTATGTACCTGAGATTGCCATGGCTGGGTTTTGATTCTTGAAGTAGCTAGAGGGCGAGGTTTACTTGTTCAAGATTGCCTCCCTGCAGGAGGAACGCTGGCCTTCCTCAAGACTTCATGGGCACTGACCACAGCCGAGGCTCACAGCTGTCAAAGCTGGTAAGTGCTGCCCATTGACTCAGCCATGGATCTGCTGAGCATTACAGCTGTGATCACAGCTTGTGCCAGCCCTGACCAGCAGGAGAGAGGCTAGTGCTTCCCTCATCTGGAGTGCTCATCCCATGGAGAAAGCTGGACCTGGGGCCTGCATGTCACAGTGTTGGTTCTAGTCCCTGCCCACACTGGGCCTGGCCTTCTCTGATCGTACCGTATAAAGCATCTGCCTCCTTCTCCAATTCTCAGGACAGTGGTTTGCCCTGTGACCTCAGTTCTCTGATGGGTCTAGAAAGAGTTGTTTCTTTTCAGTCTGCTCATTTTTTCTTGTTTTGAGGATGGGAGGGATGAATTCCAAGTTCCTCACACTCTAGACTAGAAACTGGAAGCCTATGATTTCTGTTAGTTTCTTCTTACCTCCGTAGCTTGTCTGTGTTTGACTTTGGCAATGAGCACTAGCAGCCCATGCCAGCACACCGTTTGGGAGGGCAGGGAGCCCCTGAACACAGATCTTTCAAGTCCCTCTCCCTGCCAGTGACTTCAGTGACAGGCCAGGCCCCACTCCCAGGCTAACTGGCTCCTTCTGTCCCCTGCTTAGCCCTTTCCCTCCACCCCTACCTTAGTCTCTCTGTTCAGTAGTGGGTATCTGGGGTATGCTCTTGGGACAGGTTAGAGTAAGCCTTCCCCAGGTGATGAGAGGAACTCAGACGGGGTAACAGGCATCTGGGTACAACATGCAGGAGTGAGAAGGACAAAGATGTTCAAGTTCTCTCAAGAGAGATCAAGTTTTGAATTCTTGTTCTACTACTTCCTACCTACGTCACCTCTGAAAAGCTACTTAAAACCTACTAGGCTTCAGTTTATCTTAAAAAAAACAAAACAAAAACTAAAGCAGGATAATACTACTAAGCACTAAGTTGGTTTCAGGCCATGGGGAAACTGATTGGGCTGGAGCTGAAATTTGGTCAGTGTGTTGTGCAGATAAGATATATAGTGGGATCCCTTGGTTAGAGGTCAGAGCATACAAGATGGGCAGAGAATCACCTAACTTCAGGAACAGGGTATATGAAGGCCAGGCCCCTGGGGCACAGCCAGCCCAAGTCTGCTGTGGTTGGGCAGAGAATAGGAGTTTAGGGCCAGTGGATGGCTACTGCTGCAGCTGAACTGCCTGAGCTCCCCTGACCTAGTGGAGAGTGTGGGTAACCACATGTCATCTCAGTAATTCACTGACATCCAGGGCCTAAGCAACCCAGCCTGAGACCCCTATAACTGAGTTTACCACCAAGGGAGGGAATGTTTGTCTTCCCCCTTCCAGAGACAGCTGAGCTCTTAGGGATCGATGCTGGTGGTGGGCACATAGCTAGGCGTAGTGCTACCTCAGTGGTAGAGCTCCAACTAGAGAGATGGCCAGAGACTAGGACTGCTGGCAATGCCTAGATGGCTGTGGACACTGGGAAACCACTTTCTTGAGGCCTCCCAAGATTATCTTGTGAAGGGAGTTCCTGTGCACATTCCTGCTCAAGCTAGTGAGATCCCAGTGTCAATGTGTACATGAGTCCATTTGTGCCCACCTGCCAGTGAGGGTCCAGGATACCTGGGCAATGCCAGGACTGGAAAGAATCTGCATTGATTTGTTTGAATGTCATCTAGTCCATACTAGATATGTGCTAAATGGGGACTTTACCACATTATCATGGTTTCTTAGTTCTGGGGTGAGTGCACTGAGGCCTCCTGGGATCCTGTTTTATTTTTTGTGTATATGTATATACATACACACACACACACACACACACACACACACACACATTATTGAAGGATAGTCAGTTCACAAGGTTGTGTCAATTTCTGGTGTACAGCACAATGCTTCAGTCATATATGAACATATATATATTTGTTTTCATATTATTTTTCATCGTAAGTTACTGTAATGTATCGGATATAGTTCCCTGTGAGATACAGCATGAACTTGTTTATCTGTTCTATACGTATAAGTCTCTAGTTCCCAATTAATCCTTCCCACCCCTCCCCCATGATAACCACAAGTTTGTCCTCTATGTCTGAGAGTCTGTTTCTGTTTTGCAAATAAGTTCATTTGTCTCTTTTTTTTTTAAGATTCCACATATAAGTGATATCATAGGTATTTTTCTTTCTCTTTCTGGCTTAACTTAGAATGACATTCTCCAGGTCCATCCCTGTTGCTGCAAATGGCATAATTTTATCATTTTTTATGGCTGAGTAGTATTCCATTGTATAACATACCACTTCTTTATCCAGTCATCTGTCGATGGACATTTAGGTTGTTTCCACATCTTGACTATTGTAAATAATGCTGCTATGAACATTAGAGTGAATGTATCTTTTTGAATTAAGGTTCCCTCTGGATATATGCCCAAAGTGGGATTTCTGGATCATAGGGAAAGTCTGTTTTTAGTCTTTTGAGGAATCTCCATACTGTTTTCCATAACAGCGACACCAAATGACATTCCACCAGCGGTGTAGGAGGGTTCTCTTTTCTCCA